CACGCTGACGAATCTGATGAATTCAAGTTACCTGAATAACAAGCAGAGGCAATTGCAATAACCAAGAAGGGAGATATTCAATTATTAGTGTAATTTCTAACGTTTCCACGATGTTTATTTTTGCTGTGAATTTCGCTGTGACCTCTCTACCGCAAATACAAGTTCGACCTTCCAGCCGGATTTGCATTTCCGTGGATTGGATAACATTGTACGACCTTTCACTGAGCGCTACCGATCCGGACAAATGCCTATCATCACATACAACGGAATTGTGCGTTTTCTCATTGATTATGGAGATCTTGAAAAAGTATTGCCAATACCTTCTTTTTCTTTTCTTCTGCTTCCATGCTCTTCGCTGCTGGCACATCTTTCCTTTGATAGTAATTGCGATATGGCCAATCCGTCCATTCTTCCCTTTTTGAGTACGTGTCCTTGTTTTCCTTGTGTAACCAGCATTTGGATGTCTTGGTTTCCTCATCTGTATCGGCAGGTCGGTAGTTGAAGGACTTACAGACCGGGTTGACACCGTCATAGTCCCCATAACCCTCCAGACATCTGCGGGCGCACTCTTCGACGCCGATTTTCTCGTAGCCGGCGCCTTCAATAAAAGTTGTTTCATCACCGAAATAACGGCCTTTCTCCTCGCTAAAGAATTTGCCGACTTCAGCTGAAGGACAAGTGGAGAAAATGGGATATGATCATCATACATGAACATGAAGGATATTCAATTCCCGTGAAAGTAAAGATATACAATACACTACTCGAAACGTGCTTGACAGAAGATTGCTTGACACAGTCATATAGTCCTTATAATCCTCCAGACATCAGCGGGTGCACTCTCCGTACACAATCTCGTCGTAGGCCTTGATGAATGTAGATATATCGCCGAAAAATGGCCCTTCTCCTGCTGAAGAATCTCATAGCTATGATTTCAGCTGAATAGCAAGTGAGAGACAACTTAAAAACATTAATCACCACACACACACAAACACACACACACACACACACACATAAACGGATGGTCAATAGACTCAAAACGATCACAACAGCAAAATGACTTCTTCCAACAGTATACGTACAAGTGGACAGTAATGAAATACACAACTGCATCTATTGCCAATACGTATACCTGGAATCTTCTCCGGTTTTTGCTGTGTCGCAACTGCCTTCTTTTTCTGATCACCTGAAAAAAAAATTTAAAATAGTAAACATTCAAAAAGGTCCTTTTGGTAAAAGCATACTTGCTAATTACTTTCAGATCTGTTGGTGTGGTTGAAAGCTGGACCGATTCCAGCAGTGACGTGTCCAATGAAAGGTCAGTAATTTTGAGTCATTATAAGTTCTGCCTCAAAATCCAAGGGATTTGGACTCGCTACAAGAAACGTAGAACATGCGGTGTCCGTGCACTCGTGCCCATCCTAACACTCGTGTCAGTGTTTCATTGTGTATGTGTGTAAAGTATGACTGCATCGAGTGGGAGGGACACATAGAAGTGATGCAAAAATCACCATTTCTTACACTCTTCACCATGTTAATGCCACTTAATGATATTTCTTGGCAATTTATGAAATCTATATGTCACCTCAAACTGAGACCCTCAAAACCCTTTCGTCGCTTTTTACCGTGCACTACCACGGATTAAAAGGTCTTTGTTAGTCTGAGAGTAAACAGAAAATATTCAAACGGCAAAAAGACGAAGTGAACACGTTGAAGTGGAAAAGAAGTTACATGGAGAGAAGAAGCATGCACATGTTTTTCTGGCCACGCCCAACACAGAACCAGAATAGCAATTGTAGAAGGATACATTTCATCGTGATCATGAACTTACTTGCGTCACAGTTTTTCCATTTGTTAGTCTGGTAGTTTGCAGTGAAAGCACACCAGGGACGGGTATGGTCGGCGGTAGTACAGGAATTGTAGGTTTTTCCTTTGTACTTGAATGGAAAATGGCACTCTGAAAAATAAGAAAATGAGTAAAAGGCATGAGGAGGGCAACTGTTTATCGATCCGTTCCTGCACCTAAAACTATACCATGTACCACGCCAACACTTTGCCCAAGTCGATAATGATTTGGCTTGTCTATTCGAAGCTGCACACCCTGAAGTCTAGCGACCGTCTCTGCCGGGGAATAATTCGGAGGGAAAATAACTGTATGTGGGATGAAAGCATATCTCTTCAGCTACAAGACCAACTGAGTTTGGCTTCTTCAACCTCTTTAATTTTGGTAAACTTAACAGAAAAAATTCTTACTCCGAATTTAATGCCCAAAATTGGGAATTTTCATGTAGGAGACGAGGAAGAAATGGAGTTTCCGAATGTAGTGAGATTTTGTTTTCTTTGCTTGTGGTGAGGGCATTGGAGGATCAAATGCAATTACAGACATCGTTTACGGCAAGTGGATGCAAGGCAGAAACGTCAAAGACTTTCTGTTTTCAATTCCAGAACCTCTCGTTAGTGTTTTTGTTGCTTGTTTGTCTGCCTAAAATGTTGCTTATAGTAATCAATGACCATGAAGCAGATTAGCTCGCTCATGCCAGGATGTAGCAGAGCATGCGAACACACCACTGTGTGGTAGTCGCGAGTTCGAATTCAACATTTCAGCAGCTCACCTTTCCTTTCGTAGTAGCGATTTGTACATTGTAGTAGCGATGTGGCCACGTCGACCATTCGGGGCTTTTGGAGCCACGGAACCAACTAACAAACGAAGAAGTACTATCGGAAGTTTTTTTTCGTGAATTTCGCTGTGACCTCTCTACCGCAAATACAAGTTCGACCTTCTAGCCCGAATCTATCGATTTGCATTTCCTTGGATTGGGTAACATTGTACGACCTTTCACCGAGCGCTACCGATTCGGACAAATGCCTATCATCACACTCAACGGAATTGTGAGTTTTCCTCATAAATTATGGAGATTATAAAATAGTATTGCCAATACCGTCTTTTTTCTTTTGCGCTGCTTTCGTGCTCTTCGCTGCTTTCGTGCTCTTCGCTGCTGGCTCTTCGCTTGCTCTTCTTTGATAGTAATTGCGATATGGCCATTTCGTCCATTCGTCCCTTTTTGAGGACGTGTCCTTGTTTTCCTTGTGTAACCAGCATTTGGATGTCTTGGTTTCCTCATCTGTATCGGCAGGTCGGTAGTTGAAGGACTTACAGACCGGGTTGACACCGTCATAGTCCCCATAACCCTCCAGACATCTGCGGGCGCACTCTCCGATGCCAATTTTCTCATAGCCTTTAATGAAAGTATCTTCATCACCGAAATAACGGCCTTTCTCCTCGCTAAAGAATTTGCCGAATTCAGCTGAAGGACAAGTGGGGAAAATGGGATATAATCACCATACATCAACATGAAAGACATCCAATTCCCGTGAAATTAAAGATATACAATACACTACTCGAAATGTGCTTGACAGAACAAATACATCCGCTACGACTTCTATTGTCGTTGGCAAGAGAAACAACATCAACATTACCTTGCAGTTCGGCATCCCCTTGCATCTGTTGCACTCGTTTGTCCAGCTCTTTCATTTGTTGCTTGATGTTGAAAGACATACATTTTGTTTTAGTGCTGTTATACGTACACATGAAGTAGGACAAAAATACAAACGTGGTCATACCACCCTCAACTTTTCCAATTGACTGATTACACAGAGCAACTTTTACACTTCCTTCATGTAACCCAAGTCAAGACGATAATCTAATTCAATCAAAATCCGTGTTTTTTCTTTGATTTGTCAAGGAAAGTGTGGTAGACAGTTTATGTAAACTGTGCCTATTACAGTGACATGAGATACCTTCGTAGCTTCTCCTGATTGCCCTTGCTTTAGTTCATTCAGCTGCTTGTATAAGTGTTCCTTGTAGCCTTCCGCCTTCATCTTACCCAGACACTGCCCCTTTGAGCAGTCTGATCGCTGGTACGTGTGGCCGTCACATTTTTCTCCCCGAACGCTGTCACGAGTCCGATAACACATCTTCAAATGCTCGTTACATGCGCCCCAGGTACTCCACGTGGTGCATTTGGTGGTGACCACCTCTAAAATTGACACAACACGATAGCTTCATTATTTTCGGAGAGCCAACCTAAAATTAGACGCTCTTTCTAGCAGTATCTGATCAGAAAGGTAGAAAATACTTTGCAGTTGACGTGCGTTCATTTTGACGACACCTCTACAGCACCGTCGTCACATTTTCATGAGCTGACGGTGGATGCAAGGTACTCTTGACGGTGCTGGTAGTTACTCTTGCTGACCTGTTACGTCGTGTGTATTTGAAATCCTTCACAAACTTAAAATGCGTCCAATTGACGGTTCTGAAGATTTATATGTGATAAGGGTCTATGCAGGAGCCACTCACTTTTTTATTCAGAAATATACAACGTGTACCAGTAACAGGGCTGTGGCGCTGCAGGCTCAAGAAGTTTATAACTTATTTTAACAGCGCCACACAACACAACACGTCAACAAAATACACAGATACACAGAGTTGACATAACAATGTACCGAAGTCCCACCAACCCAAGACATTAAATAATACTAATGCTAACCTGGTTATAAAAAAATTAATTGAACATGAGTGACTTCTATGGCTGATTGAAGAGAAGAAAATATCACCGTCAATCTAAGGATTACATATTGACCTTCTATATCTGATTGGCGGAAGCATATCCGCAAATCAAAGCTAGAAGGGCTGGAAGAAAAAAGTGAGCCACTCACTTGGGCATGGCTGGACTTTACAATCCTCGGTTTTGTCCTGTTCCTGCTTCCCCATTTTTCTGGTCCTCCTCCTGAGCCCCTGACCGCACGTTGTGCTACAGGACGACCACGCACCCCAGGATGACCACTTCGGCTGGGGTTTGGCAGGCGGTACAGGAGCCGGGGGTGGGGGCGGAACTGACGGTGTAGAAATACGTACGTGTGTGAACGTGTGTGAACAATGACTTACATTGAATTAATACATTAAGATTACAACTTTGATACTCCTTGTTATGTGAATGTCACTCCTTACAGATTACTGAGATAAAGTGGACGTGATTTTTAAACACTGATCGTGACAAGAATGACTAGAATTATTGTACCAGAGAAATTCCTTTCGACAAGCCGACGACAACACGGACAGCCATGGTTCCAATGCACTTTTTATTTCTCTATGCTGATTTTGTTTCCAAGTTTGTCATAAATTCAACATAATTTTGTATGTTTTATTTATTATGATTATTGCTAAGAGTAATTATTGTTGTAATTATTATGTTATTATTATTTGTTATTTTTATTTCATGTGAACTCCAGGAAGAATATTATGGAATTAATCAATGACATACTAATGGAGATCGAAATAAATAAATAAACAAACAAACAAACACCACGGTTTAACGTCCCGACCGAAGGACTGCAACCCTTGCCAGTACCGTGCAACTGCAAGTCAAATGGGCGAAAACGGCCGGGATTTAATATAATTGTCGATTGTCCACACATACCACACACACGAAAGGCCATGGTGAGGCAAACATACCCGGACATGCCTGAGTGTTACACGGGCTTTTCTCCTGGCTGATGCCGTCGCAAGGTGACCCTCGTTCCGCCTCCAGCTGGGTTTCCTCCACACAGTCGGCGTCTTTGCAGTATTTACAGTGTCTGGACCTGACCCTGACTCCAGTCCCACATATCACCGAGCATGGAGTAGACTCGCCCCAGCTGGTCCACCGGCCTGTAGAAAAAAATTTAATTCATCAATTTCACACTTCCCATAATGCCTAGTAACGGTCACGGATATGCAGGGATATGACGTAAGACCCCCCCCCCCTTCCTCGATGTAATATTTCCAACAAATTCTATCGACAAACTGGCCAACTATTGTTTTGAATTATTTATCTAGTATAAAGCACATGCCATAATTGCATTTTTGTTGGAATTAGAGAAAATGACGTACCTTCTATCGTTCCACCTTCTACCCAAGACTCTCCTACTCGGTAATGCATGCGACCGTGCGAGTAGGAGAGTCAGGAGAGTCTTCGGTAGAAGGTGGAACGATAGAAGGTACGTCATTTTCTCTAATTCCAACAAAAATGCAATTATGACATGTGCTTTATACTAGATAGAATTTGTTGGAAATATTACATCGAGGAAGGGGGAGGGGGGATGGTTTTATGTCATATCCCTGCATATCCGTGACCGTTACTAGGCATTATGGGAAGTGTGAAATTGGTGAATACATGTGTGTACTTGCTTAAGTGGCTGAATGAAGTGTTTTCAAATTGTAAATAGTTCATTGTAGAATGTAGCATGAATGTACACACAGGTACCAACTCCCGACTGCCATGAACCAAGTCTTTACCAATATCACTGTCTCTGTACTCACATAAAAGTATGTCTGGTATTGTATTTTTATATACCTGTGTATCTAATGAGTAATATCTACTTTTTATACCCATTTTTGAATCAATGTAATATGAACTAGAGAAGTAACATTTGCAAAGCAAATGCATAATGTTTACCTTCGAACATGGTCTGCCCTGATAATTTCTACTCAAACACATTCACATAAATATCTTTATGTATGTGAATGTACTACGAGTATATGGTGACAGGAGTAGAGCAGACCATGAAATTGCAACAATATGTAACCAAACACCAGTCACCATGGAGGCTGACGTCAACAAATCATGTCATTGGCCAGGTCAGAGGTTAGTGTTTGGAACAGAAGAGGAGGAAGAAACTGAGTAAAAACAATATGTTTTTTCAGTCTATTCAGTTTTCTCAGTTTTCCTTCGGTAAACACAATTATACATCAGGAGAGTGTTCTAGTATTGCATTGCCAAAATTGTATTGAATTGTAACCATTGTTACTGAGCTGGACAGGTAGGTTACATACACCCCTGTTTTCCGACACCCTGATGTTCCACAACTCAACCTATGCTCTCACAACCTGTGTCAGAACAATGGGTGACAGAACATATGGCTATCTCCATACAGGTATACATTTTGTATTTTGTAAACTCTGGTACTGAGACCATAGAACATAGTGCCAATTGAACTTTATCATATATTTCTGCCACAATAGGACACTAGTAGGAGAACAGTACAAATTTATTTGTCTCTAATCGCTCATTCTATCATGTCTGTATTATAATGGAAAATATGAAATGTTGGAGGATGACCCGCATGTGTGTTTGACACCAATATGGCGGACGGTAAATTACATCATATGCATAGTCATATGACTGCATTATTGTACCCTGCACTGTCCCGTATAACTAGAGAAGTAACATTTGCAAAGCAAATGCATGATGTTTACCTTCGGACATGGTCTGCCCTGTTAATTTCTACTCAAACACATTCACATAAATGTATTTACATGTATTTATGTGAATGTACTACGAGTATATGGTGACAGGAGTAGAGCAGACCATGAAATTGCAACATTATGTAACCCAACACCAGTCACCATGGTGGCAGACGTCATCATGTCATTGGCCAGGTCAGAGGTTAGTGTTTGGAACAGAAGAGGAGGAAGAAACTGAGTAAAAACTTCGGTAAACATAAATATCAATGAGAACTTCGAGCAACTATTACGATGTTGTATATCGAAAGTCTTTGAAAGAATTGTTTACATGCCAGTGTCTTCTTACCTCCTGGAAAACAAACTGCTTACTGATCGGAACTCTGGGTTTTCCCCTGGGGACTCCACAATAAATTCATTGACATATCTAACTCACAATGTGCATCTTGCACTTGACAAAGGACTTGATACACGCGCTGTCTTCCTAGATATATCCAAAGCGTTTGATAAAGTCTGGCACGCGGGGTTAATTTTCAAATTAGAGCAACTAGGAATAACCGGATCTCTTCTAGCTTGGATCTATTCTTACTTAAACGACCGACAACAGCGTGTCGTGATTAACGGCACCTGTTCTGATTGGGCGCCTGTTGATGCGGGCGTGCCACAGGGCTCGCTCTTAGGCCCGTTGCTTTTTCTCGTTTTTATTAACGATTTAGTGGATGACTTGGTAACAGACGGCCGTCTATTCGCCGACGATACTTCACTGACCGAAGTTGTTAGAGATCCTGTTATTTCAGCTGATAGACTAAATCATGACCTCAAAATAGTGGAAAACTGGGCAGACCAATGGCTGGTGACCTTTAACCCACTCAAAACTGAACTTATTACATTTTCATCCAAACGTATAAAAATTGCCCACCCACCATTGTATTTTAAAGGAGTTCAGTTAATGGAAGTCCCTTCCCACAAACACCTCGGCCTACATCTTACCCCTAATCTATCGTGGTCATTACATGTTTCAATTATAACTGCTACCGCGATGAAACGGATTAACCTTTTAAAAAGAATAGTATCCTTTGTTCCACGAAAAACTCTTGAAACCTTATATAAAGTAATGATAAGGCCATTACTGGAGTATGCCGACGTTGTTTGGGACGGATTAACTGGTAAAGACTCTGACTTAATTGAATCTGTTCAACTCAATGCAGCTCGGATATGTACTGGCGCAATGAGAGGAACAAATAGTAATAGCATCTTGTCTGAGGTTGGCTGGGAAACCATGTCATGTAGGCGTCAAAAGCATAAACTTGTAAACTTTATAAAATTATCAAAGAATTAGCACCAAAATACTTACAGGAATTGGTACCACTACAAACCCGTGACTCCACCCCCTACAGTCTCCGTACTGATCAGAATTACGTCTTAATTCCTGCTAGAACTGAGAAATTCAAAAGATCTTTTCTGCCTACTTCCATTGTTTCCTGGAATAACTTGCCATTAACTACACGAGCATCAACATCAATTGCCATCTTTAAAAAAGAGTTGGAGACGTTTTATCACAGCCCTCACACTCAACCTCACTTCTCCCACGGTCCGAGAAACCCAGCTATCCACCTTACCAGACTCAGACTCAACCGCAGTCAGTTAAACTTTCACCTGTTCCAACATCAATGTGTGCCCAGTCCTGCGTGCAAATGTGGTCACTTCAACGAAACAGCTGTACACTACTTCCTACACTGCCCACTGTACACTGACGAACGCATTGACATGTTATCATCGCTAACTAACATTCTGCCATTTGACACAAACAACGTCACCGACAACACTTTATGTTCAACCATTCTCAGGGGTAACCCCTCATTGTCGTTTGTCAACAACTGTAACATATTTGATGTTGTTTTCAACTTTACTTTGCAGACAGGACGTTTTGTTTGATTTAGTTGATTCATTTTGATTTGTACACCAGCCTACTATGTACCCTTGTCATTTCTTATTATTATTATTACTTTGTTTTATTGTATCCTTTTATGTGTGAGGAGAGGGCTGAGATAAGTTTTATAACTTTTTGCCTCATCCTCGGAAAATAAATGTGAATAAAATAAAATAAAATAACTATTACGACCTGAGTATTTGCAGACGGCAGGGCGGCAAACTTCTTCGTCCTCGCACTTCCCCGAGCAGTCGTAGTCAGTCAGACCTGTGGGATCCTCGCAGTACCGTTTCCTTTTCCTGACACCCTGCGCCCCGCAGGTCACGGAACAGGGTCCCCACTTGTCCCAGGCCGACCAGTGCGGTCTCCCTGGATCACATCACAGGAAGAAAATAGGATTTATTAATTTGCATAATTAATGTGAAAATTCTGTGACTCTCCTTATTGGTGAATGATGGGAATTTTAATTTTTATGCCTTGTGACATGTGTAAGTTACTTAAAGGTTAACACCACTATGCATATATTACGTAATGTAGAGGTCATTTGCATAATTAACGAGGATATGTTGAAATTAAGTATGACAAAGGAGAGGAATTTTACACTAAGAATATTGTCATTTGAATTTAGAAAACCATAAATTAAACTAGATTACGACCTTATTTCCACAGTCAATGAGACAAATAAAAAACATTTACAAAAACTCATATATTTCATGTAGGAGATCTCCGAATTCTTGTTTGGAACTGGAAATATATTTATTGTCGTATCTGAAGAAAGGATAAGATAAAAGAGATGTATTTCTGTTTCATGTTTAGAAACATCTAGCACATCGTCAACATCGATCCGGCAGGACCGGCACTATTGCTGAAACATTTCATTAGAAACAAGAGTTCCACGATGTCATACCTTCGCCAAATGATGTTATGATGGACGAATTATACGTTTTTACTCTTTGATTTTGCAAGTAAGAGCCTCATTTGCATGGATTATATCAGTTGACCATATTCTCCACCCAACGACAGCCTTTAACCACCAAAAAAGGCTATTCTAGTATGTCCAGATCATGAGATATCAAAACCGGAAGTTCTGCTGCAGTTGCTGAAGTATCAACAAAAGCCGCCAGGGGCCAAGTTCAATGACAATGCATCTTGGTAAAGCTTCTTGAGTTATGCTGTTCACAAAAAAAAAACACAGACAAACAGACAGACGGACAAACGCTACTGAAAACATAGCCTTCTTCGAAGGTAATAAGGAACTCGCATAAAAAATTTCAATCACGCATTCCAAACGGTATTAAACTTCAACGTATTTGGAACACTAGGAAATGTTCTGCTACAAAATTAATGAAGAATACTTGAAATGACGACGCACGATATTGGCACCTATCTCCAACATGATCAGCCTTGCACACACAGTAAATGTCGTCGCCGTTCTTGGAGTGTTCGCAGTGCCCGCCGTTCATACAGGCTATCTTCTCACAGGGGTCGTCTTTCTTCTTACAGTCCGGTAACTGTTTGGCGCCTTCTTCAGGTTGATCTGAGTAGCGGAGAACGCAAGAAATGTAGACGTCACATGTCCAGTAAGTGAGAACGCAAGAATCGCTTCCGCCACTTACCCGTAAGAAGCACGTCGGCAGAACGTACTGCGCCTGCGCAGAACCCTGTATTTTCGCGATTTTCGTTGGATTTTTGGTCAACGTTGCATTAGAATTTTGTCTGTTGCAAATGATATATTTTCCTACGTAACATTTGGAAACTACAGACGGAATGTTAACCTTATATGCGCTAGTACGACCTTATATGAGACATTCTGCCGAAGTGCTATGTACAATACATTACGGGTTTCGCGCAGGTGCAGTGCGTTCTGCCGACGTGCTCCCGTAAGATCACGTGTCTGAGCGAGAATCGCTGACGTCACGTGCCTATAAGATCACGTGTCCTACGTAATTGGTCATTCAATCCTGATGAAGGATGTAGTACGGACAACCAGGAATTTGGTAAGACTTTTAATGACTTTAAATCACATAGAGCCATGTTCCTTTAAACATATGGATGAAATCCTCTTGAAACAAGAAAACTGGTGCTACATTTTGAAACGAAAATTCCTGCGTGCGCGGATATCATCCATATAATGAAATCAACATGCTACAAGAGAAAGGGTAGGAACTTTTAGGCTACCATATTTGACCACCACGAGACAATTCTTTATTGTTAGTGAAAAACAAGTAAAGATGAAAATAAACAAACACTAGAGAAGTAACATTTGCAAAGCAAATGCATAATGTTTACCTTCGGACATGGTCTGCCCTGTTAATTGTATTTATCTATGTGAATGTACTACGAGTATATGGTGACAGGAGTAGAGCAGACCATGAAATTGCAACATTATGTAACCAAACACCAGTCACCATGGAGGCAGACGTCAACAAGTCATGTCATTGGCCAGGTCAGAGGTTAGTGTTTGGAACAGAAGAGGAGGAAGAAACTGAGTAAAAACAATATGTTTTCCTTCGGTAAACATAATAACGTTACACCGTACCCGACCACCCATCTTTACATTCGCAGGTGTACATCCTAGTGCGCATGACTGGCACGCATTTGCCGTTGGGATGGCACATGTCGTTGCCGCCATCTTCAATACACGGGTTTCTCTCTTCTGTACACAACTTTCCTTCATAGCCATCCTCACACTCACAATGGTAATCCATCCCGACTGTGGAAATATAAATAAATAATTCATGACGTATTGACAGGAGCTTTCATATCTGTTGGTATATGGCATCATGGAAAAGTTATCAATTTGGAAGCTAAGATAGACCACAGAAAGTAAATTTTATGATGACGCAGACGCAAAATTTCTTGTGTTTTTTTCTCCAAAATCAGGCGTGCGATGTCATCCATAAAAATTACTTGCTGTGGCCTAACAGAGAAAAACAAAATGTCATTCTGGCACGCAAAGTATTTTTGCAACACTGACAACAACCTTGATATTCAGGAAATGTTGTATGCAACATGAAGGTGTCTTGATATGGTACTCACTGCGTTCGTGACATTTCTTGGTGTGGGCCTTGTTGCACTTGCTGTGATTGGTGTTGCACACATTTCTGTCGTTACACCTTTTCTTCTTTTTGTCCCAAGTCCAACCAAGTTGGCAACCACACTGGTAGTCAGGAGTCTTGAAATGTCCTACTTGCTGTAACGTATCACAATAAAAGATATGTGTAATAAGCTCGGATGATTATGAAAGAGGTGATTTACATCAGGGCCCACCACCCTTCACTCAACCGCGACGGGGGCCGGCATCGTCTACCAGATACCTTTGACCCAGTGTTACAAATACAATAGGGCCACAACAAGTTCATCTTATGGATGACAACTTCCTCAGACTCCAAATCGAATGCGAAAGAGCGAAAAAAACACGGCGGCAATAAAGCAAGATTCCTACATTTCCGAAACATCGATATTTAAACAAGAAATGATACATATCTTGTGTTAAGTTTACTGACGACATCCATTTGTCACTGCACTGACATGGAACAACTTTGAAAAATAAGTTTTCAATAATTGTACAAATATGGTTTTGATTCAGTGGGAACATCACATATACACAACCGGACGTATCATCACATATAAAAGGAATGAAATACATCACTGTATCAAATTTAAAGTAATAGATAAAACATTAAATCAGAGACTTGTCTCCTCTCTTCACATTTATCTACCATCCGCGTTCCGGAATGGAAACAGACATCTTTGCCCATTTTCGTCTTGTTGACCACTATCAGTAGCCTCTACCAGGTACCGCGGATCGCTGGAAAAATAGTAGAAATTGGCCGAAATAAAGGGATAGTATACCAGAGAAGATCCAGGGCCATAGAAGCTCCAATTTCGCATCCAGCGATCCGCGGTGCCTGGTAGAGGCTACAATATCAGAGGGCAACAATTTTTTCCCCTAATCTGGCAAAAATCAATGCGCGCGCTGATGTCATCCATAAAAATTACTTGATGTCATCCATGTCATCCATAAAATTACTTGCTATTACAAACGTAATAAGATTGACACTCCATTCACTTACGGTACATTTTTTGGTTGAACGGTCTACGTAATGACAAGGGTTGCCCTTGCACGGTTGAGGGCACATGTTATAACGGAAGCCACGTTTGGGTTCCCAGTAGTTCTTTCCAAGTATGTTGCACCAGTACCTACGGTTGAACAGAGCAGACGATAAATGCGTCAACACAAGTATAACCTTGAATTCATATTCAGATTGTTCTAAATCAAATATAACTAGCCAGAAGTCCCAAACAACGCTTTGTCTAAGGCCGTGTTTAAGCGGAATCATCCAAGGCGGTTTACATGTGGTTTACCCCGAAGCCGGTTTCAAGTGGCTCCATGTGAACGCTCCGAAATCACATTGAAAGCGCCTCGATCCCAAGCCACTTCTAGAGGTGGTTTCGAATCGGTTTCCCCGCATCGCGATTTGCGTCTGAACGCAATGTGATTTCATTTTCAATGTAACTTCGCCTGGTCATGGATTACAGGGTGATATTTCTTTATTTATATGCAATACCAACTTTTACGTGGCAGCAACTTAAAGAGCAGTAATGGTCAAATAATGTGTCCGTTCTAGGGCGAGCTTCACCGCCTCTGGCGGGACCATGTCGGCATTCGGCCGAGATACGCTGGGAGGGGGGCATCAGCAAGCAGGTCGTTGACCTCTGACATTAATAACACGCCACCTTGCGTGTTTTCATCAAACAACAATATTCGCTCAAGCGAATTGTGATCGGACACGGTTTCACCAGATGTGAGGAATGTGAGTTACCCGAATCGCGGTTTGGGTGATTCCGCTTAAACACGGCCTAATACTGTACATTATGTCATCTATCAATTAATATATCAATATATAAGGCTTTTAATACAGTACTACATTCGTCTAATGTCGCAACTAAATCACTGATTTAGTTGTGACATTAGACGAATGTAGTACTGTACACAAACACACACCGCGCTACGCACCCCTGTACAATATAAACATTGATTGACCGGCTTTCAATGTGGTAAACTGTGACGTAATAATGTGATAGGTCCATTTAACTAGACGTCTTATGTAACGCTTTTTTTTTACATTTTTACATTCTACCTGTTTGAACATTCCTAACTTCGAACTTTATGCATTTATCAAAACAACATCGCAGGCTTAAACAGCCTGAATTGTGTTATAATGAATTACATAAGTTAGGCCATGTTGATTTGATTATATGGATGGCATCCTCTGGGAGCCCAAAAATTGATGCGCGCGTGCGAATAAAAAAAAGTTTTGCAAAAAAAAAGTTGTTTTCATTATGAAATCTACGTGGTCATGAAGGTTGAACAAATGGCACAGAATATGGTTTGGCGAATAATCTACTCTTCAAATTCATTTCTTTACAATTTCGTCTTTTTTCGTTTGATTTTGGTATTCTACGACATTGGTATAGTTTTTATTTATTTTTTTGTAACTTTAATTCTTGATCATTTTGCAACTGTTTTGTACGATTTACAGTATGGTTGAAAACTTTTTTTTTGGAAACGGCCGAAAATCCATGCGCGCGCGGATGTCATCCATATAATCAAATCAACATGGCCTTACAGCTGTCTGTGGCATGTGATCATTTCAGAATTAAAGGATTGACTGCTGAAATCAACAAAGTTACTCAAAATTCCTTTTCACGTGTGACAATTGTCATAAATCATCGAATATACATTGTACGGACATTTTTTTTGTTTTTGTTTTTATTCCAACATGTAATCACCAGACGTGGTGACGGCACACTCAAGCTTTATCAACTTATATTAATGCCGCCAACAACACAGGGGACAAATACATGACAGGACAATACTCATTTACACCTGAGCTAAGTGAGGAAAGTCGTGTAAAGTGCCTTTCCCAAGGGCACAAGATCGGTGGCATGTCAGGACTCGAACCCAGGACTCTTAGTTCCGAGTCGCGCACTCTGCCGCTACGCCACACGACCCCACACAACGTACGGACATTTAAATGACACATAAACAAACCAGCTGTACAGCATGGCCATGTATTCCAGCGAGACGCCCTCTTTATAGTGCCTTTTGTGAATGGCGTAGGTCGCGTGCCACTCGCATCTTCTTTTCTCTGCACAGTCTATCTCCCAGTTGTCGGGGCGATACCAAAGAGCACAAGTAGCCCCCCACCAATAACCAAACCTCCCAGGTCTGGGCATAAACCAGCCGCCTGCGAGAAGACAAAAAAATCGTAAGTTTCACTTTACTAAAGGAGCATTCTGGTCCAAAAGCATTACAATTTCTCATTACGCAGACCAATAAACTGAGATTCCGTCTTCCCGCCATTTTTTAATACACTCCTGATGACGTCATCTCGTTTCCGACTTCCGCCGAGGCAACGAGTGATTAACGTTATACATCTGACGAAGGTTGACGAGATCGACCAGAAATTTATGGTGAGTTTCTTCCTTGTGTTGGAACAAAGCCTGAACTCTGTAACTATATAGATTCTACCAACGCAGATGAGCTTTCATTCGAATAAAATGTTATGATTGAATCCGTTTTGTTTTGTTGAATTTAATACCTACATTTAAACCTTACTCACCAACGCCTTTGTTGTCACTTCTCTTTACCGCTGGCCATCCTTTGTATTTGAAGTAGTTGTATGTACTACTCAGAGTCTGAAGATGTGGGAAGTTCTCATAGTGCCATTGTTTCTTCCATTTCACCTTTGTTCTCTTCCATGTTTTAGGAACGGAATAATGTGGAGCCCTGGCTCTCCTCTTGTTTCGAGGATGACTGGGCTCTCCGTCGATGTTTTCAGGAGTAGGTACATCTGCATCGGTGGCGTGATCCCATTCCACGGCGTCATGGTCGCGAAGGAAAGACTTGGCGTTTTTCTGGTCGATTGTAATATCCTCTAGCTCCCAGCTCGGCTCGTACCCGTCGTTGTTAGAGAAAGGGGGATCGAAGGGAGAGGCTTTTGTGTTGTTGTCATCTGTCCAGGAGCCGTTGAGGCTAGCCCCGCGACTCTGAAGCCCGGGGTTTAAACTTAAGCTTAAAAGATATAACGCGAGGAATGGCGAAATGCGCATTATCATATGTTTACATGGCACGGATAGTTACCACACTGTCGACTAACGTCTGGTTCGAATGTGCTGGCTGTCGGAGAACATTGATGTTCTACTTCTATTCTAGGTTTCGAACGTTCGAGGAATAGAATGTAACGTTAGGCCACACCAAGTGGGGTTAATGGATGACGTCCGCACGCATTGATTTTTGCCTGTTCCCAGAAAAAAAGAAAGAAATTCCGCTTCCTGTTACTATGACTAAAGAGTCACGACAGAACCGCAAATCGAAAGATTGGAAGATGAAAGGGAAGAAACAGGACAGGGCAACAACTGCTGTTCTACTGATTTATTGCTGTTTTCTTGACGTATAAAAGACGTGTTCTCTCATTCAACATTTGTCGTCCCTTAGTATATTTCAAATCTCTTGGTTTTTTCGGGCATTCTTGTTTTTTTTTCGCGCACTCACATTAGGACGGAGGACGTCATCCATAGAAATAACTTGGTGTAGCCTTCTACGCGGTGAAAAAAAAAACTTGGTTCCCTTACTTACTCTACTTTCTTAAACAGCTTTTATTTTTATGTGTCGCGAGGAAACGGAGGTAAAACATAATGACAAGTCTACGGTCATTGATGGACTATTAGACTTCCCCAAAACCCGATCCAGAATCATACCAACGAAGTAAGTTCCCTTTCCCACCCCTACCAACAAGTGGTACTGCCCACGGTAAACAAAAAGGGAGCAACAAAGGGTCACGGAAATTTGACCTCTCCCACACATTGTTATGTTAGGCACCTGCAGGCAAAAATTAGAGGACGCCAACTAGCGTACACAACGGCAACGTTGCACGGCTGCACGATGAACTCGCCGTTTATTTGGTCAGGGGTTTGGGGATAATGTAGGAGAGTTTCTTGCTGTGGTCCCATAACAGGTGGCGCGGAAACAACGTCATGGAAACAAAGGTACATGTAAGAACGGCCTGTGGTGAGCAGTGTAATTTCCGTTGGGGAGGGAGGGGGGGAGGGGGGCTCTTGGAACTGGATGTAAGGCCACAACGACTTAATTTTATGGATGACACCCTCGCGCGCATTGATTTTTGCCTGTTCTCAAAAAAAAAAAAGATCACGTCCTCCGAGGCTCTGCCCTGGCTCTAGCTAGGCCTGGGTACAATATGGAGCCGGTGGTAACTCTGGAGGACGGAGCATTTGCATGTGCCGGCTTGTCGTATACCTCGCTATGTACTGCCGTAAATTCACAATACCAGCTTTGTATTCCTGTGGTTTAGTAGCATTTTTAGTTTCGGGCCGGAATATTTTTTTTTATTCGCCCGCGCGCACTAGTTTGTGGGTCTTCAGAGGATGCCATCCTTAAAATTAAGTACTGTGACCTACCGAGACAACGAAGTTTTGTCTCGCCCTATCGTAGATCTAGATATTGGGTCTAGGGGGCTATGCCGTGGTTGTCGTACGGTTTTGATGTCGCAATGTTTTCATTAAGGCAGACTGTGACAGATCCAACCACCGACAAGAAGTGATAGCCTTTACTTAAGGGTTAATGACCCGCCCCGAGGTGAATATGGTGTGATAAAGCCTTGTCAATTGCTATAACCACCTTATAAAGCCACCGAGTGAGCGCAGCTGCTTTAGCAACTGACAAGGCTTTATCATACCATATTCACCTCGGGGCGGGTCATTAACCTAACGGCTGATCATGAATTTTTCAGGACGCACGTACGACTATCCCAAGAATGTTTTTGTAATCGTAGGCCGGCGCACTACGTATGTTAACGTTACCGGATCCTTAGCAGTACCTAATATACTTACTGCAACACTGGTTGGCTTAGTACTGGCAGCACAGTACTAGTAACTACTACTCACTAGCAGTACTCAGTCCTTGCATGGTAAAAATCGGAGGCCAAAGACACTTGAGTAAACATGTTATCTAACGTTAGTATACATTAGTATACGTTAATATACATCGGTCCCGGCCCTCCCTTAGTATACATCGGTCCCGGCCCTCCCGCGAGTCGGATCGCCCGACGGCCGCATACCTCGCGATACGGAATACCCCGTGTTGTATTCTATATGTATAAAATACGTACAGTTTGGCCAAAATGTACGAGCGATCCGCTGTTTTTGTTTACATCATATACATAACGTTACAAATTTGTAGGCAAAAATTGTATACAATGTCTTGGGAGTCTTGAACTTTGACATATTACCCGCAATGTCACCAATTTCACACTTCCCATAATGCCTTGTAAAGATCACGGATATGACGTAAGACCACCCCCTGCCCCTTCCTCGATGTAATTTTTCCAACAAGTTCTATCGACAAACAGGTCAACTATGGTTTTGAATTATTTATCTAGTATAAAGCGCATGCCATAATTGCATTTTTGTTGGAATTTAATAGAGAAAATGACTACATTCTATCGTTCTACCTTCTACCGAAGACTCTCCTACTCGCACGGTCGCATTACGTATATCCCCTTCTTACGTCATATCCCACTCCATATCCGTGATCTTTACTGGGAACTATGGGAAATGGGAAATTGGTGAATTCCTTTGATGTTGAACATGAAAGGTGTCCGTGGCCGATCTGGAGTTCGTGTCCCACCGACTGCTGCCGAGGGAATGGAGAACGCTCGGCCGGAAGTTACTGACTACCATAGACCCACACTTCCCCAACGTAGAGGGCATCCTGGGTAATTTGGAATTCACCCATCAGGATGAGGGTGCGCGGAAGATGGCCTTACAGACCATGCTCCGGTGAGACCTATTAGTATTAGGCCACGCCGCCTTAATTTTATGAATGACATCCTCTGAAGACCCCCCAAACTAGTACGCGCGGGCGAATAAAAAAATCCGGCTAAAATAAAAATGCTACTAAACCAAAGGAATACAAAGCTGGTGTTGTGAATTTACGGCAGTACATAGCCATGTATACGACAAGCCGGCACATGGCTTTTTGCGGAATTTATGAGTCGGCACTGTACGTACTGTAGTACATACTGATCATGAGTTCTTGAGTCGTGGAACTTCGGTAGCCTGGGTGCCCGGCTCCGTATTGTCCATTGACTACCGAGTCCTAGAGCCTCGGTGGGCGTGATCTCTCTTCTTTTTTTTTTTTTTTTGAGAACAGGCGAAAATCAATGATCGGATGTCATCCATAAATTTAAGTCGGTGTGGCCTTAGTATCACCACTAGTGGAGTGTTAAAAAAACGCCAGCCGTGGCGATGTATGTGTCTAAAATATATCACAAATTTCCTAAACTTACAAACTGTTAACTATACAGATACAGATACGGATTTCAGTAGCAATCCATCACTGTACCGGAAAGTTATGATCATTGCAATTTTGAATTCCCTGTGAGAGTCATTAGAAATTGACGGATACGTGTATTTTTTTTTACACTCCAATGCATTTAAAGTGAAATTTTCTCTAAATATATTACATCGTTGTTTTACACATTTTCTTGCGCTATAAGACTAGCGGGGTTCACAGTGGTATTTGGGGAGTAAAAGATCAACGTCGTTGCGCCGCAAAAACGTGTTGAAGCTGCCAAAGATACCTGACCGAAAACCACGTGCACTTTTTGTTAACCTTCTTTTTAGGAGTCTCCTAAAAATACAGCGGGCCTGCCGCAACTTCTTCTCGCGCTGCGCTGAGTCACCGAAAAAGCTATATAGCGACGATAATGTGTTGAAAGTTACTGAAAATGACAATCTAGATGAGAAAATTTCAATTATTCATACTAGTATTTTAGCCCAAAAATCTTACATAATATCGCTTTAAAAGACGTCATTGTCCTTTTTCAGATGGCAGTCTATGTGGGGAGACAAAGCAACGGTTGCCTTACTGGTGGGGGCGTTGGAAGACTTAGGCATGCTGGGTATCGCCTCTGGTCTCAGAGAGATGGTCGCTGAAAGGAACGATCCAACTCCGCAGAGAGGTCCATACAGTGTGGTCAAAATGAAAGGTCCGTACACGTCTTCTGTCCTATGTTTAGGGCTAAATTTGACATTTTTGAAGCGAATCGCGTTTGAATGATTTTGAACCCCGTGTAATAATAATTATGTGGGATCCAGTAAAAAAAAGAGACCTGTTCGGAACACCCGTATCTAAAGGCCTGGTCACAACCCGCCGTACGTGCATCTGCGTGCTGTCTACGTGCAAAAACGTGGGCAAACGTAGGGCATTCGTGCGTGGTGAGTACCACCTCCGTACGGAATCCTACGGGAGCACGCAGACACGCCGTAGAACTTTAAGTGCATTTAAAACTTTTTCTGCGTGCGGTCTGCGGATTCACCACCCGTGCGTGCGAGAACGAGCGACGCGCGTGCCTCGTACGTACCGTACGGAAGAAGCACGTGTGATCATGAGTACGGCCTCCTTACGGTAAAGTTGCAATCGCACAGAGATCGTACGTTGTAAGCACGTACAACTCACTTACCACTTGCGCAACGAACGATGCACGTAACCGCTCACGGCCAGACGTAGCGTGCAGACCACACTCTTACACCTTGCGCAACCGTGCGAGTGACGTGCGAGTGACGTGCGTAGACGCCACTCCTTCCCCACGTTTTCAGAAAAAACGTAGCAGACGTAGCCTCCCAAACAACGTACGGACAAAAAGCACGTACGGCGGGTTGTGACCAGGGCTTAACGCTATAACGACCAAGACATAACATAAACTTAGTTACACATAAAGTAAAATCGCAGACCTTACCAGTAACGTACATTATGGTACATATATACCTTTGTCTAGAACTCTAGATTTATACTAACGCAGTGAAAGTAACAAATTAAAGTATCAAAGGTTACTGATATTTTATCGATTGCTTCCTCCAGAATGTGATCCAGTAGTCCACTTGTGCAGAGAGGCTTTGAAGAACCATTACTTCACGATGTACGAGAGTAACGTCCCTTTGGTGTGGAGAACCTTCGGGTTCAACGTACATACAACATACATCCCCCTGCAGGTAAGGGCCGAACCTTCACTACTGAAAAATCAACTCTTATATCATCATGAAAGTTCATTTGTGTTGGTAGTAATCATAATGAAAACTTTATTCCAACACAAGGGATACACAGATCAAATTTTCCACGACCACTGTCGCCTTCATCAGGATAACTAATGACCAATCACTTCCTAATGTAAACTTGTGATAGTTACAGTTACAGTTACAGACACGTGACCTTATTCACGCGCGAGACTTTAACTTTGCGGATCGATACGTGCCAGTGAGTTTATATCGCCCACCGTCTTTTTGTTGTGAGGTGGACAACTTTCATATCGTGTGAATAATGAGTTACCATGAGTTCTTTATTGCAAGTTCATGCCCGAGGGCCAATTGCAAACAGGCACTGACAAGAACAAGTGTCCATAGGCGACAATTCTCCGTCAAGTTTTATATTTTGAAAATAAATGTAAACAAGATCAACAACACGACAATCTAAACAGATGAAAAAAAGTCATCTTTACTGTGCCAACGTTTCGAGGACCTGTGTGATGGTATGAATGGTCACGACAAATGAGGCATTTCTGAACGCATCCATGACATCGCGCTTAAACGAAGTTCAGTTTATCCTAACGAAGACGGCAGAGAGGTCGTCGAAACGTTGGTACATCGTTATGAAATCAAGAAAACTATGTTGAATTGACATACTAACCTGGTAAACCATTTTTTCGGGGATATGAATTGTGATCTCTCTGGTAGGTATATAACTTATATATGATGTAGACGTGTTAGTTACTGTAGCTTACCTACTTTCTAATCTCTCTAGGTTGTCCGTTTGGACCGAGCTCCGACCGAAAGGCTCAGATCACAACTTGACGTGGAAGTGCCTCTCGACCAGCACAGTGTGCTGTTTCACGGCCCCGCTGGAATAGGGAAGACCCACTTGTGTTGCAAGATGGCCCGTGACTGGGTCTCCGAGAAAGATCCCAGACTTAAGAACGTCCAGCTTTTATTTGTCTTGTCCGCAACGTCCATGGGAAAGGGCGACATTCTCGACGCCGTGTATGATCAAATCTTTCCCGCTGGTTTTGTCGACAAAGTGCCCAAGAAAAGGCTAGAGCAGTGGGTAAAGGCGAATGCAGGTGGCGTCATGTTCGTTGTGGACGATGTGGACGCAGTCGAAGAAAACTGTTCATCACGAGATGTTAAGAAGAGCCCGGTTCACTGTTACATCAAGGGGCAATACCTGCGTAATACCAGAAGGGTTCTCACTTGCAGACGCTCAGCTATGACAGACTGTAACGCTACGTCAGAAACGACGTCTATGCTACCCCATTATCTCATCAACGGCTTCTCTGAAGGTGCTGTAGATGAAGTCATCAGTAAGTTCTTTGGGCGGAGCGATGATTCCCGAGCAAGGGGAAGGCGGCTTAAGGAAACCGTTAGCTCCGACGACTACCTGTCCGGTGTTGTGCAGAACCCCATGTACGCCCTCATGGTGTGTGCGCTGTGGGAGAGAGGGAAGTCTCCACCGACTAGTCTTGCCCAGCTATTCGAACAGTTCATCGTCCTGATCTCAGACGAATACTGCAGTAGAAAGACCCCGCCCATGACGACGAAATCAATGCAAACGACGCTTTGCAGTGTAGGTAAGTTAGCGTGGAGTTCATTCCAAGAGGGGACAAGACCCTTGACACACCAGCACATACAAGACGTCATTGGAAACGACGTGGTGACGGACATGGGACTGTTACAACGTGATCAACGTGTAAGGGAAGACGACCGATACGTATTCGTTCACAGAATCTTCTGCGAATACTTTGCTGCAAAGCACGTCTCCGCGGCGTCTGCAGCAGGCGACCAGGCCAAGGATCTACAGGCCCTGTGGTCCACAGGATGCAGACATAACCACAGATACGGAAACGCGTACTTGTTTGCAGCGGGACTTCTTGGAGACAAGTCGCACGATCTCTTCGCCGCCTTTAAGTCCAACTTCTCTGAGATGACCAAGCAGGATTCTCCTCCTTGCTGCCAGAGTACAGCTATCAGCCAAGCTTGCTTGGCAATTGTAGAGTCAGGAAATCCCAACATAACTGCTCCTCTTGTGGCTAAAGCGCTTCCAAGAGATCTTGCCCTTGACTTCCAAGGAAAACCTCCACCACCGGACGTTCTTCACGGACTTGCTGAGTTGATCACGACCAAGCATGTCCCAAAGACCATCCGTCTGAAACATCTGTGGTTCACGGAACCCGGTAGTCTTCTCCATCTTGGAGAAGCGCTCAAGCGCTCAAAGGGTCTGTCGTCCCTCCATGTCGATGTTACCGGAATGGATATGTCCTTGTCTCATCCAGAGAGGAACAACAACGCGATGGTGGCCTTCCACCGTTGCCTCGCCGAGAACAGGGGCATAGCCTGTTTGGAAATCAGCGCAGACATAAACGACATGGACGAAACTGCAGTCGTCGCTATACCAGAGGTCATCAAACGTAAGCCTGACCTTCTCGACCTTAGGCTCGTCATCAATGCGTCCGAGGCGTGTTCGACCCGATGCAGAAACATGGTCGCAAAAGGGTACAAGATCGCATGTAAACGAGAGAAGAATATCACAGTGTTCAACGAAAGTCTAGCTGACGCGTTGGGGAAGAACAAGACACTTAGGTCCATATGGATCAGCGTCCAGCTTTTGCAACATAAACTAGCCCTTGAGCTTGTGGCACCTGCTATTGCCTCTCATCCGTGTATCAGCTCACTCAAAGCATTTGGACACCCAAGCGAAGAGAGCCACGCACGTGGCCATGGAATTGAAGCGTTGGCCCACATCCTACTCAAAAGCAAAACTTTGAAGTCTTTCTCCCTCAGTCTACCATCTTTGGTTAGTGACACAAGTTGTGACGCCTCCAGCCAACGAGTGAACATCCTCTGTGCTGCCTTGAAAGAATGCCGGACTTTGGAAAAGTTGGATCTTTCGTTTACTTATTTGTTCGCCAGGGAAAAGCTTCTCCTGGCCGAAGTCGTCATGTCCGGCCGGTCGCTGAAGGAAGTGTCGCTGTCCTGGAGGAACATGAACGAAGCGTTCCTGGTCGCTTTCTGCAGAGCAGTTCGGGGGAAGGCCGCGGGGAGTCTGAGGAAGATCGCGCTGTCAGGAGCGTTTGACTCCAGGGGGCTGGTCAGACTCGGGAAGACGATCCTGGCCAGCCAGAGTCTCGCGGAAGTCACGCTGGGTCACAGCAGGTTTCAGGACAAGGGGCTGGAGGAGTTCATCGATGAGGTAAATAGATATTTTTTTTTAAATTTTTATTCCAACATGTAATCACCAGACGTGGTGACGACTCACTCAAGTTTTTTCAACTTATATTAATGCCGCCACCAACACAGGGGACAAATACATGACAGGACAATACTCATTTACACCTGAGCTAAGTGAGGAAAGTCGTGTAAAGTGCCTTTCCCAAGGGCACAAGATCGGTGGCATGTCAGGACTCGAACCCGGGACTCTTATTAGTTCCGAGTCGCACACTCTGCCGCTACGCCACACGACCCCACAAATGGATATTGCTCGTGTAAAACTCTTCATGACTATATTTCTCTTCAGGGAGCATAAGTACACTTACCAATTTATCGAATGCAGTGCAGTTCAATGATATTGCCAGTAGTGTAACACATAGTGTCCTTACTGTGTAGTAGCATTCTTATTAATTTTACCGTATGGAATGCAAATTTCTATTTTTATACTTCAAATTACAAAGTATACTTAGCGATTTTACAGGTAAATTGAACACTTTGACGGATACAGTTGTTACATATATCCGAAAAATCGCCAAGTAGACCAGTAACGAATAATATTGGTGCATTTTCTCCTATGCAATCGCAAAGTATCACAATGAAAACAACCTAATCATAAACAACCATATCTGCTGAAACTACGATTATGATGATATGAAGTGAAATTCGAAATTTACAGAAATTCGCATTTTTTTTCTAATTCAGAAAAATAGCAATGAGTACAAATGAAAGGACACAGACGAAGTGACTACTAACTCAAATTGGGCACAACAAATATTCTCGCAAACACTCGTACAATGAAAAATACAGGTATTTTACAAGACGTTTGAAAAAAGTGTGGATTCATAAGAGATCGACCTATAGCTAGTTGAAGCGTGAGTCCCCTCCCAGAAGAAAGCAAAACAGGACATATATAGCTTAAAAACGTTTTGTTTCTGCTGTGATGTCATAGGAACAGAGCAAACTACCGCTAAGAACTACAAGTTGTTTAGCATTTCATTTTGCATTTGCACAAAGTCTTTGTTCATGACCTACTGCTCTCAGTTGTTTGGAGTCCAGTTATGGAACTCTGTTCATGCGAGTGTACTAGCTACATGTAAATGTCGTGTTGCATACACAAGTAATTGCTTTCGTATTCTCCTTGTAAGTTGCCAAGAGGTTGTAGTGCCAGTTCAATGTTTGTACACCTCTCGACCGATACATTCGATGCTAGACGCAGGAAATTGTGTTATTCCTTCATTAATAAAGTTTACGCCACCAACAATAGTATAATATGCTGACTGTCAGTTCAGAAATACGTATTTTAAAAATGTGTATAAATTGTTGTATGTTTAGTGTTTATGTGGTTTTATGTATGTACTATGGGGATAACCTGAAATAAAGTCATTCATCTCATCATTTCAAACAATCGGTGTTTTGAATAGGTAATGGAAGCAGTGGCGTCCTTTTCCGACGAAAGAGACGCGCCTCTCCAGGTCACCCTGCAGGGAGACGTGAGCGGAGACTGCGCCCATGACGCCATCAGCACAGCCGAGCTGCTGAGCGTGGAACTTCAGGACTCAGACCACACCAACCTCACGGTGCACCTGGAGCCTGAAAACACGGCGGCATCACAGGCTGTTCACCAGGCAACGACGTCGGAGACGCCCTGTGACTTCGCTTTTATGATAGACTTGGGAAAAGGTGATAGCTCGTCAGGTAGTCAACAAGAACAGGTCATGAGGTGGTTGACACGCAGGTGATGTGATATTGTTGTTATAGTCTAGGCGATCGGTGCAAAATATGGGTAGAATTGCTCAGTTTGTGATAAAAGCATGAGACTTGGCATGCTGAAGCAGGAGTACCTAATTAACATTTTCAGGGGTGGAGCCATTGCAAAAAGTGTGTTACTTAGCAACGGTTGCTAGGCAACTTGTTTTTCCAACAAAACAGTATTATTACATTCTAATTGTGCCTAAAGGACAGTTCGCGATGGCTCCACCCCTGAAATTGTTTCTAGTGTCGTGTAGTACATTTGTGCCAAGTTTCATACTTTTATCACCATTTGAGCAATTTTCGCACCGATCGCCTAGGCTAGGCTATTAGTATCACCAACATTCTCTCAATTCTGTCTCATTTTTTAACAAATTTACATGCGATCAGTTCTCATGCATGAAAAGTTGAGAAGTAGACGTAGTTTACCAATTAAAGTTGTAAAGATAAAGGTAGTCCCATAGTCTTGAGGGCGATCAGTTGTTAGTGTTAGTCCACTGTGTCTAGCATAGGCACGGTATTGGAAGATGGAGCCCATCTCTCTAGATCTCCCTCTAACGCTATCATTTGTAATAGATAGTGTGACTTTTGTCAAATTTAAGTAAGGCCACACCAATTTAATTTCTTGGTTAACGGATTTTTCTAGAAAATAATGGAGCGGGCGGGCGAAAAAAAAACAGGGGCCTAGGCATCCTATTATGGCCCAAAAAGGTACGATAGGAGCCATGAAGTCAACACACCAGGCAGGTTCAAAATTTAAATAATGAATTTTTAACTTTTAATGATACCATTGCATTGAAAGATGGAATAACTGTAACAACTAGGATGAAAAGGACTGTTTTCAACTGTTCTGGACAAAATATGAGCATTTTGCAGTTGATTCTGAATTTTTATTTTTATTTGCATATCAGGACAAAATGAAGCGGGCGAATCCTTTAACCAAGAAATTAAATTGGTGTGGCCTAAGGGTAGCATTTTCATACAACTAGCTAGAAAGCTTACACTATACCCATGTGTAAGTACGAGCTGTGCTTTAGTCTGTGTGCAAGCTAGTGTGTGCTGGCCATTGTGGACTTAGCTTTCGTTGACAAATAAATTGGCTGCGTCAATCAAGTTTGGCAAGCCAACCGGCAGTGCTCCTATTTTGTTTCATTCGTTATTATCCTTGTTGTGGCGATCTTTTCAGCCAAAGTGTTGTCGAAATAACCCGTGAAAATGTCCCCGACAACTGGCCTCCCTCAGTTACTGGTACTTAAGTCATTTTCAATCTCTCTAACCCATACATGGCCAATAAATCAAACGAAAGGCTCGCAAAGGGACAGGCGGTGAGCCCTTTGTTTCTCTTATCTTAGGTAAATACCATTTTTAAAGCGCACAGTGAATGGATACCTTCTGAAGTATTTGAAAAATAGAGGTAAGGGGTGGACAGTAAGAGAAACACACGGAGCACAACAAGTCCCCCACGTAAGAGGAATGAGTTAAATGAATTACGAACGAAATGGAAGGAATTCTGTGTGCTTTATGTCGGAAGGTTACGTCTGGGCCGTTATTGTTGGAGAGGCTTAGAGGGAACAAGGAAAGAATGGCCAAGGCTAGCTTGAAAGAGAATGCCCGCGGGGGAAACAAATACGCCCGGTTACCAATACTACGAAAAGGCGTCGGCTTTGTCGAACAAACTGATAAGCACGTTTGCGTAAACTACATACAGACTTGAAAGACGAGAGGGCTGTGCATGTAACACAAGGATGGCGGGGATAGTAAGAGAAGAACCCGTGCGAAAGAAGGCAAGCGTACCGGCACAGCGCGCAAGACGAGCCTGGTCTCCCCACGGCAAGATGCGGCCCCGCTCGGGAACGTGGCACGGCGACGAGGAGACACCCGACACGGTGAAAAACGCGCGGAAACTGACAGACTCCCTGGCCACGGAAGTCAGGTTTGATCCCGGGCTGATACAGGACGTGATCGACATGGTCCTGACAGAAACGCTCGCTCACGAGACGTACGCAGCCAGCAGGATGGGGGTGACGAGCAAGCGGGTGAGCGACGTCCTGAAGACGAGAATCCGGGGGCTGTGCGGGGACAGGTTCAAGCTGGTGTGCATCGTTGTGATCACCGAGGGAGGGACCGAGGAGAGCGCCCTGCACGTCACCAGTCAGTGTGTCTGGGACCACGAAACGGACGACTTCGCGTCGGGAAGCTTTAGTAACGACGCCCTGCACGCGGTGGCTACCGTCTTCGCTATCCACTGCTGACAGTTACGGTGCAGGCTTTTGGATTGTTGGAATCTAGGAAAATGGGACCAAGTATGTGTACTTGAGTGCGTCACAGTTGTGTCGGTGTTTTGTTGTTTCGTGTATTGGCTAACTAGAAATACGGCAAAGTCTATACAAAACAGCCTCCAGTTTAATTTCGGACTTCCAGTTTAAATCCGGACAACCTCCCATATCTCAGCAACCTTAAACCCAGATGGGCTAATATCGCAAACCATAGGTAAAAAATGATGTAAGAAATATGTAGCAGCTATTCGCGACCCCCTGGGGGTTCGTCCAATTATTTTACGTATTATAACCCTTGAGCATTATGCATAATTATGCATAACCCCTCAAACCCAGGGGGTCGCGAATAGCTGCTACATATTTCTTACATCATTTTTACCTGTGGTTTGCAATATTAGCCCATCTGGGTTTAAGGCTGCTGAGATATGGGAGGTTGTCCAGAATTAAACTGGAAGTCCGGGATTAAACTGGAGGCTGTTACAATCTGTTTTGAAAACAGGAAATGACCGGATGTACATAAGTTTGCCTGACCATCGCATCTGCTGCAGCGTATTTTCTTACAGCTATCGAATCTGACAGGACTAAATTCACCTTTCCCTAAGGCCATGTTGATTTGATTATATGGATGACATCCGCGCGCGCATGAATTTTCGGCCGTTTCCAAAAAAAAAAAGTTTTCAACCATACTGTAAATCGTACAAAACAGTTGCAAAATGAGCAAAAATATACCGTAAGTTACAAAAAAATAAGTAAAAACTATACCAATGTCGTAGAATGCCAAAATCAAACGAAAAAAGACGAAATTGTAAGGAAATGAACTTGAAGATTAGATTATTCGCCAAACCATATTCTGTCCCATTTGTTCAACCCTCAACAACTTTTTTTTGCAAAACTTTTTTTTATTCGCACGCGCGCATCAGTTTTGGGGCTCCCGGAGGATGTCATCCATATAATCAAATCAACATGGCCTAACTCTATAACATGCATCGACGATCGCATTTATGCGTATTTGCTTAAAGGGATTTAGAGAGAAGAGAGGGACCCATGGCAAACATGACTATAGCAAAGAAATGCTGACTTGCATAGCGCTATACACGTACCAGTGAAATAGTCTCCACCAGACTCCTTTTGCTGGCTAATAAATAGCAGAAATCGGCCAGAAAAGGAGTCTGGTGGAGACTACCAGTGAAAGGTGTACAACCAAATGAAAACTGGATGTCAGTGTAGTTCACACTAACTTCGCACGAGGTCGCTGCTATTCGTGTGTAATGAAAATAAGTATCCCAGTGTATGTACATATGTATATCTAGGATTCAATGATCGCTATTAAAGAGACGCAAATGACATTCAATGATTGGTCATCAAAGCATGTTTTGTTTTGTTTGCTGCAGAATAATTCCTTATAACAGATAATACATATCTGATAACATGGAACTGTAACTGTGTATGGATCCTATAATCTCCAAGTAGATCATACGGTGGCAAGGCAGTATCCATTTGCCAGAGGAGTGTCCATTCGGTGGCAAATGGTCACTCCTCTAGCCAATGAATACTGTATTGCCACCGTATGATCTACTTGGAGAATATGCGATAATCCTCGTACCAACACTGTAGCTTTAAAGTTTTAAATTAAACTTAGGCCACACCAATTCAATTTGTTGGTTCTTGGATTTTTTTTTTTAAATATAAAGCAACAGGAAAAAAACCCAGACCTTAGCATCCTACAATAGCCCTAAATGCTATGTTAGGAGCCATGAAATCAACATACCAGGCTGGTTTGTAATTCAAGCAATGAATTCAATTTCAAAACCTTAAATCAAAGTTCGTTGATAGATGGAAAAACTGTAATAACTCTGAAGAGAAGGGACTTCCTTTAACTGGCCAAAATATGAGCATTTTGGAGTTGATTCTGAGGCTGAATTGTTTTTTTCTTAAAATCAGAAAAAAATGAAGTGGGCGAATCCGTGAACAAACAAATTAAATTGGTGTGGCCTTATCATCATTTTTAAAAAAAAGTTTCCAAATCGTCAACAAGAAGGAACAAAAGCAAGTGCCTTGAGGATCTAGGAGTACTTCGAACTTCAGAAGAAGTTGTCATTGCCATTTATTTTATTTAAGAACAACAAAACAGTTCTTTAAACAGGCTACTGAACAACTGGTCTTAAATGGTGCTACCCTAATAGGCATAAATACATGGAACCCAAATTTCTGTGTCATTTTTTGAGATTTATTTCTTCTGCATGCACAACCATGCCCCCTCAAAACCTTTTCCAGTGTCCATTTCTCTTACATTCTTGCTTTTTCTAAAAGTGAAAACCCTTCACATGAATGTTACATATTTTAAGAGCGGGTGCCCCAATTAAAGTAGCATTTTTGGCAAATTTCACTGATCACACTGCTCCCACCCTCCCCCGAAATGAGCTTATTTTTTTGTGCCAGTTTAAGGCTTTCTCTACGTTGCAGCATTCTTAAACCAATGCGCTGGTGTTATACAACTATCGTTACGGCTAGTGCCCTAACCAGGAGGAAGAACTCTTGACGATTGCAGGCGACGACTCTAAACAGACATCATGAGGCACTGACAGATCCAACATCAGTACAAGTTTTGTCCTATAGCTAGGAACCATGTGAACAGTGACCAACGTGTACATATTTACATAATCAGAACTTTTATATGGCAACAGACACCATGGAGTTTTTTTTCTTTCTAGATTTTTCGTACCCCCTTTCTGAAGCAGCCAAGAAGACATCTCGAAAGCATGGTTTCGTACAATGTTGAGAACTGAAGCGTCATCAAGCATGTCTTATACACTATATACATTGCAGAGCAATGAAATCTTACAGTTGTGGCAGAATGCATGACATCTTGTGGCCTTGCGACTTTTCTGTAGCTTCACGAGAGTTTAACTTGCCAAGATTATAAAACGTCCAAGATGGTTCTCTGTTTCCTTGTATCTGATCATAGGTACTTAGAAAAAGCGAAAATAGTATTGGTTATCCTAACGGCGGGGACGACTGGCTATTGTTGGTCGTCGTCACCTTGTGAAAGGAGGAAATTTGCAGCCAGGTTTTCGTTCTTATCGCATGCAAAGTACGCCTGGATGACTAAGCCTTCCTCGAAGCCAAGGGCCTTAAGCTGTGAAGAGAGAAAGGAACAACATATTACATTGACATGTAGTGAAATGGCAGAAAATACAAGGCCACAGCAAGTAATTTTTATGGATGACATCCGCACGCGCATTAATTTTCGCCTGATTTTGGAAAAAAAAAAAACAAGAGATTTTGTTGCCTTCTGACAGTGGTCAATATGCCGAAAATGGACAAATATGTCTGTTGCCATGTCGGAGGGTGGATGACAGATAACTATGAAGAGAAAAGGCTCTGATTTAATGCTTTGTTTCTTACTTTGATGCGGTAATATGTGATGTTGGCTGTGTATATGTGATGTTTGCACTGAATCAAAACCATTTGTACACTGATTGAGTAAAAATTTTAAATTGTAGGAACCTTGTTTTTTTCGGCCCGCCTTGTTTTTTTTTCACCCGCTCGCATTAGATTTGGAGTCTACGGAGGATGGCATCCATAAAATTTACTTGCTGTGGCCCAACTAGAACAACTACCAAGCAACATATTTCTGAGTCTATCACAGTTTCAACTATATCAATAAAGGTTGGTAAAAAATATATACAACAAATAACATATCTATGAGACATTTTGTTATGTATAACTACGTAGAGTACTCAGGCTTCTTCAACTTTGACATTTTACTGTTTAGGATCGCAGTCCTTAGGACGGGATGTTAAGCCGTGGTCCACTGTTTATTGCGCTTGTCAAAAAGGGCTAGGGGAATTTCCCTGGTACAATGAACCTGTAAATACTGTACATAGCGTCTGTCTTCTCTGTCACGACCAGTGGAAGATTAGCTCTTCAATGAGCTAAACTTTCACATTTTACCTACAATATATCACATCGCAAATCCACAGTCTGGACCATAAACCCATTTACAGGCAACAGAATTCTGCTATTTTGAGAACTAAAAATCAAGATCGTTCAAGAGATTCATTTATCACGTACAGACACATTTACTAGTGAATTCTTTCATCAGTGACAACTTGGAAGGATAAGGATACTAACCTCCAAATTTTCGATGGCTATCAGTCCATCTTGTTCACGGAGTGGCCTAATCTCGCAAGAGCGCGAGACTAGGCCTGAG